GCTGTAAATAATCTTGCAGTTGTGGAGGTATTTATACGGATGCTATGACCTTGGATGCGCACGTAACATGAAGATGCTGCGGGCAAATAGGCGCGGGTGTGGGTAGGTATCATTTGTATTACTATTTTTGTTGTCATTAATCATTACTCTTATTATGATTATTACTACTGGTACTTTTATAACTATTATCAGCTGCCGAGAAGATTTGTTTCGAGGTCGGATGCTCATTTATGCATGGGATGAGCGACAGCAAAGGGAAGCGAAGAAGACCTTTGGATGCACCAAGCCAAGTGTCCTCAGGGTTCAGGGTTTAGGGTTTAGGGTTTAGGGTTCAGGGATTTGACATGCAATCCTAGGAGGGTGTCCGGCAACCCGTTTGTATTTCCTGTGAATTCCTCCGGGACCGCTAGAAGCCTCTACATCATCGCCTAGCCTGAAAATCAGAATCCGCAAACAAATAGATATCTAGGTATTACTATTCAAGTAACTTACGCAAATCACCAAAAAAGGTAGATATAACCCTAAACCCTAAACTCGAAGCCCTAAACCCTAAACGATCAAGCCCGACCCAAAAACAAGCCAAGGAAGCGGCTGGCGGACAAGCATCGCTGGGGCAAGTTCAGGCCTTCAGCTGCTTTCCCGAGCTCCACCCTGGTCTTGTTACTGTGATGAGCCCTATCAGTATAGTAGCAACATGGGTAATTTGTAGCATATTGCTGTAGCAAAATTTGGAGTTGTCATTTTAATGTAGCAAAATGGGTGGTAACTACTGGATTTTAATTGCAGGGGGTGGGCGCTTGGTGTAACCGAGAAAGGGGAAATTGGGTCACAGCTATCAGGATCGACAAGGAGCCCAAGACTACTGCCCTGTCCGATTTGCCAAGTGCCTTTGTAGCACTTGAGCTGTTCCGAGCAAGCAAAGCATTGGGCAGTGAAGAACTGGTAGTTTCCACAAGTAAGGGACCCCAATAGACCCTAAGATATTTTAATCCCCTTTTATGGGAACTCCCAAAAGGCATGAATTTCTGGTCAATTTCCAGAAATTTGCCGCCCCCTTTGGGGTCCCTATAATGAGGAACATTCTATACTGGGTTCTCATATTGGGCCTCCCTTTTAAGGAAACTACCAAATCATTGAGAGGCATGCGTTGCACCAAGGCTACCATCCCCTCATGGACAACTTGCCGAAGTGATATGCTGTCCGATTCGGGAGTTTCTGAAAATTGGAGCAGCATCATCTACAGGGGCCGATATCATCCTCCCAATAATTCCCAAATAGCCTTGGGTCCCCACAAGTACACTATCTTCGGAGACCCTCGTATGCAGCCTAGAAGCCCAAAGCGGGTCTTCTTGGAGCGAACGAACCTCAAAATAGTTATGCTCATGTGGGAGTTCCAGAAGTTCGGTGTTCTCTTTCATATTTAGGAAACCCTAAACTCTAAACTCTAAGCCCTAAACTCTAAACCCTAAACCCTAAACAACACATTTGGGGGGACAGCATCCTGGTTCTGGAAGCTCCCCATGTCTGTTGCCTGCAAAGATTGCATCCGCTTGCAAGCTGCTGTGCACATGTATAACGTTCATAGTAATGGTAATAGTAGTCTCAATTATTTGTAGTAACAATAATAATAGTAATGATGATAGTAATACTGATGGTAATACGAATAGTAATATTAAGTAAAAGGGAGGAATAGTGGTAATTGCAGTTGAAAAGTTATCATGGCCGCTGCTCTTCATCAGGGGGGGGTGTAGAAGGTGTGTGGGCCCTTGCCCAGGTGCAAAGCTTAGTTTGACCTTTCTCCTGACCTCGCAGCATCTCTGAAACTAGCTTACGGATTGGCAGCTCATTCTTGACAGTTGATTCATCCATCCAAACTGAGGGCTACACGCCATGCTGAAGCCAAAGAACATCCGCTTCCGAGCGCTTGAGAAGGCATCACATTCTGGATTTGTGACTTGTAGTAACCCTTTGAGAGGGACCGCCCTTCCCCGTCAGGTCAAAGTGCGACCGCGCAGTTTGGTGCAGATTTGTCTTCAGCGTGTGGCAGAGAATTTCCTGCGCACTCAGACAGCACTTATCCATTTGCTTGGGTGAAGTGCCCAGTCAAGGGCCATGCGGTTAAGCAGAACGCCTACATTTGCGGAACAAGTGGTAGTTTCCCTAGATAGGGTCGCCGAATGTAGACACCAAAATGCTGCGGTCCTCATGATAGGGACCCCCCCCTAATTTTGGGAAATCATAGACCTTAATCCACTCTCCATTATTGGGATTATATATCCCCAAACCCCATACCCTTAACCCTAACCTCAAATCCCTAAACCCTGAACCCTAATCCTTAACCCTTGTACCCTTATCCCTAAGCCCTAAACCCTAAACCCTAACCCCTGAACTATGGGTAGCCGCCAAGGATATGACAATCTGCACACAAAGCTGGGGAGGAAGCAGCTGGAGGAGCCGCCATAGCATCACGCAAGCCAGAGGTGGTATAATGCTTGTTGGGTTGAGGGTTTTGGTTGAGGGTTTGGGTTGAGGGCTTGGGTTCAGGGTGTAGGGTTCAGGGCGTAGGGAAGGAAGGAAGGAAGGAAGGAAGGAAGGAAGTATTTTTGGTGGTTCTGTATGGACTGCAAGGTTCTCATCCTGCATTCCCTACGGCCCGCCTGTACCAGTAGTAACAGTAATAGTGGTAGTACTTGGAGGGTCAGGGGGACTTAGTAAGTAGGTTAATAAGCCCCATAACCCATAAAGTAACCCTAGTTATCCCCATTATTAACCTACTTACTAAGTCCCCCTGACC